ATCTGATATAAAGGACTCCAAATCCACTAGTGGTTATGTGTTTATCCTTTGAAGGGCAGCCGTGTCTTGAAAATTTTCCAAGCAAACGTATATATCAAGATCAACGATGGAATCTGTGTTTATTACTTTGGATAAAGCAATTGAAGAAGCTGACTGGCTTCGCCAATTCGTTAAGGATATTCCACGTTGGCCGAGGCCTGTGCCTGCTATCTGTATTTATTGTGATAGCTAATCGGCGATTAGACGGACATAAAGTCATATGTATAATAGAAAGTCTAGACATATCCGTCGTAGGCATAATTCCATACAACAACTACTCTCTAATGGCGTTGTCTCTCTAGACTATGTAAAGTCGAAGGACAACATTACGGATCCGCTAACCAAAGGGTTAAATTGAGTGTTAGCAGAGAAGTCGTCAGAACGAATGGGGTTAAAGCCTATAGTGTAAGGTGTTACTAGAATGGAAACCTAACCTAGTTGATTAGAGATCCCAAGATCTAGGTTCAGTCGGACAACCTACTTACGTCGAACAGTGATATGTCACTGAGGAGGTTAAATCTCCAGCCATTTCTTTTATCAGTGATACCTGCGAGTGTAAAGGTTAAGCTAAGCTTTTAATGACTCTGGTGTGTTAAGTTGTTGAACTGAGTATAACAGGATATTCAACTAGAGTCACCTATGTGAGTGTGAAGTGGGGTCTCTTCTATAAGAATTGACAAGGCCGAATTCTTTAAACCACTCACTGAACCAGGCTAGTGTTCCAGGGCCAAACCGGACACAACAGTGAGAACAGAACGATGGTTGGACTAATACTTGTGTGATGTCAATTATCTTGGTTTACATAAACGGCAGAACAGTTCAAGACTTCGTATTCACTAGATAGCCAATAAATCTAATAGACTTCACTATAAGGGGTTCAAAGCCAAAAGTTACCTTCTCTGATGCAGGGGTTATTCCGTTGCACTCTCTTCGAGTCTTTGTTGTTGAGCGTTGTCCGTTTGTTGCTATTCGGCTAATTTTTATTCATGTGGGGGATTGTTGGAAAAATAATAGTTTTTTGGTGACTGTAATGCAATATTAAAGTGGGTGTCAATCTTCAATTGACGTGAAGTAAAGTGGGTCTAGATTCTTTGTAGGGAGATCTTTACACCACAAAATGAATGACCAAAAACCATTAAGATTTGAATGAGAAATTGACTCATTAAGTTAGTCTCATGAAAAAGGTGTTAGGAAAAGTGTAAAACCTTGTATCCCACTTTGATTGTAGAAGAGAGCATTGATGGGTATTTAAATCTCATTTTTTGCCTTAGGGTGTGAGCCCTTTGGGACATCCAAATTTTCCGAAGGAATGAAGTTATGGATGCTTCAAGAATGGACTTGGGCTAAGACTATGGTCCAAGTTGGTCATGCTAAAATTGCCACACGCGCGTGTGTTCGAACTGAACCAGGCTGGGGCCGGGTTTGTGATCCATGGGTCATGGATCTTGGATCTTGGGACTTGGGCTTGGGCCTAGATGGATTGAGTGTGGGGGTTGGGCTTGGCCCACCCATCTTAATCTTTTTTGGCCAACCCAAATCTGTGGGCGGCAAATATATATACAGAAAACTTATGTGCATAGCTGGTAACTTCTCTATTGATGATGGATTTAACCCATCAGTTTTACAGATTAATACAAAATTAATTTCTGCATTAGTGATGGGCCTTGATGACTGTTTTTGTGAGAGAAGAATGTAATGATTATGGGTTGGATGTGATGTTTTGTTTGTTATGACTAAAATAGTCTATTTTGTTTTTTGTGGCTAAAATAGCCAAAAAAGCCTGGAAACTAACTTGCCAAACAGAGGCTCAAGTTTTTATATTCTTCATGTGAGAAAGTGCTGCAAAGTTTTGTTCGCCAAAGCTATTCAGTGTGTGCATTGCTGTAACTGGTCCAACCATCGTATCTTGGAAGACAGACGTCGAAAAACTTCTAGCATCCAATCGATGAGGTGGCGAATCTGTTTTAAGGACACTATCTAGTGCAGGCTTCAGTTTGCCTTCTGTTGCTATTTTATTTTATTTATTTCTATTCTTCTACTTGTAATTCCTAGCATGATTTTGTAGTCTATAATTGCAAATATAAAATATGAATTTATTTGTTCTATATGTTCCCACAACTTATACAACACGTGTTCAGTTTGATCATGGATTGAATGGCTAACCTTGGTCATCTCTCTAGTCCGGTCAAATCCCGCTCAACTTTCATGGCAAATCCCGCCTAGCTTCAAAGTTTGGCCGAAGTCATTAGCCACAACCCTTAGCCCTATTAAAGCTAGGTTGCTACCTGACCGAGCTTGTCTCTTGCCCCATACCTATTAGATATCTCGGTCCAACATCTAGACATCCTTTGAGCTTGGTTATGAAATTCAAGACAACAGCCCAGATTCGAATTTTGCTTAGCCCATTTGTCCAGTACAAATTCCCCTCTCAGTTTGGTTACTATTATTTAAATTTATTTTTAGTTTGGTTCTTCTATTTAAGTTTGAGATTAAAGTTAACGATATTAAGACACTCGCTAGTCTCCTAGAATAATTAATTAAAATTTGAAAAGAAAGATCAAATTGAAACAGAATTTAAAATGTAAGAATCAAATTATTCAAATTAAAACTATAATGATTAAAATAAAATTTGAGCTAAACATAAGAGTAAAAAATATAATTAATCTTATTTTCAATTATTTTGAACAACATGGAGATGGTGTCGGGCAGATTTGGTGGTGGCTAATTGTGGTATTGGTCGGTAGGTGGGTCAATGTTGGGCTTGAGCTTGAACTTGGGCTTGGGTGGGGAGAAGTTGTTCACGGGTCAGGAAAAACACCGTCGCCAAATGTGAAAAGCAAAAAATCAGAGAGAAAGGTACAAATTTGAAAGGAAGTGAGAGAAAAAGCACCATTTTTCAATACTCATCTACAACATTTATATATATATATACTAGCATTCACCCGTGTTATGTACGGGATAAATATTTTTTATCCATATATATTATACTTATTTTTTTTTAATCATTTTGTTTCTCTTATATAAAACTTTTGATTTAACTCACTTTTTAGAAATTTAAGTTTTTATTTTTTAGTAATTTTTTTAATATTTTACATAGTTTTTTAAAAAAAATTAGATATACCTAATCTAGATACACTAAAAAAGTATAATATTTATATAAATTTTTTTAAAAAAAAAATTCACCAAAAAAAATAAATAAGTAAAAAATAAGAAAATTCAATACATTTTCGTATTTTGTTGTATTCAATAAATCTTTTAAAGATTTTTGTACAAATTTTATACCTTTAAGTATATCAAGATTAAATGGATCTAAAAATATAAAAATACGAATTGAAAACTCAAAAAACTGTTTTTGAAAATTCCAAACCAAATAGAGTATTATTTGTAAATTTAAAAGTTGTGTAAAATTATAAAAAAAAATTAAAAAAATTATGAGTTTAATGCACAAATAACTTAATACTTGTTATGATTTTATAATATACATAAAATTAATTAATTTCCCCTTACTCCACCCAAAATAAATTTAGTTGTATTATGTGTAAAATTATTGATTTTATTTTTCATAACATAAAATAAAAATAAAAATAAAACTAACATGTATAGTTAATATAATGGTAAACTTGCATTATCTTATTGGTGGAACACTACAAATGCCTATCAAAATATACTTTTAACCATCTTAAACTTTATTTTTTATTGAATTATTTATCCACTAAAATTATGAACAAAATATAGTATTAAATTTAATAGATTATTGCAATCTAAGAAATTAAAGAAGTAATGAAAATAATTAAATTTTAATCTTAAATTAAAAACTATAAAGAAAAACAAAAGAATTGAAATTATGATAGAATTTTCATTTCAAAACATAATATTTCCGTTTTTCAAGCAAAGTATGTACATATATATTTTGGATTTTGTAAAACAAAATAAAACATGAAAGATTAAATTCGGAGATTACAATTTTCTGCAATCTTTGTAGTCAAAATACAAAATCTCAAATGCTTGGAATAAAAAATAAATTCTTGAAGAAAAAGAAAAAGAAAAACCGAGACTTGCATTCGATGGCAGATTGCGGACTGCTGGCATTCATTGCTGATGAAGGAAGTTGATGAAGTATATATATTTGCAGTAGTGGATTGTTAGAAGTAATGGTTTAAGGGGATATGGATAGATGGGTTGTTTTATATATATATATATATATATAGAAAAGAAAGATCAAATTGAAACAGAATTTAAAATGTAAGAATCAAATTATTCAAATTAAAACTATAATGATTAAAATAAAATTTGAGCTAAACATAAGAGTAAAAAATATAATTAATCTTATTTTCAATTATTTTGAACAACATGGAGATGGTGTCGGGCAGATTTGGTGGTGGCTAATTGTGGTATTGGTCGGTAGGTGGGTCAATGTTGGGCTTGAGCTTGAACTTGGGCTTGGGTGGGGAGAACTTGGGCTTGGGTGGGGAGAAGTTGTTCACGGGTCAGGAAAAACACCGTCGCCAAATGTGAAAGGCAAAAAATCAGAGAGAAAGGTACAAATTTGAAAGGAAGTGAGAGAAAAAGCACCATTTTTCAATACTCATCTACAGCATTTATATATATATATATATATAATAAAGCAGGATAATTTTTAAAAATGTATCAAAATATATTATAGATATATTTGATTTGAATGGCTGAGATGATTCCTAATAATATCTAATGGTTGTAATCAATTTTTTTTTTCTCGCCCAAACACTCTTTGCTCTCTCTCTCTCGTCTCTTCAACGAGCAAGGATCCTCTAGAGTGATTTTTTCCTAAAGTTTCCTAAAGTGCTACAGTGTATGGTTGAGATTTATTGGCAAGTCACATCAATTTTTCTGATGTGACTTGCCAATAAATCTCAACCACACAATATAGCACTCTAAAAAACTTTAGAGAAATTTCACTCTAGAGGATCCTTGTTGCCCTTCAACTCCCTCTCTACATGTTATCTCTCACGCCTCTTCAAAATGTGTCAGAGAGCCTGATCTCTGCTATCATCGGTGGAAGCAGAAGAAATAGAAGCGGCAACGGAAGCCATTATTCCTACCTTTCCCTTTCTTCATTCTTCACTAACCGATGGCCACAACCATTGCCGATCACCTATGATCATCCGATACTCCTCCAATCGCAAAAAAAAAAACTATAAAATCCTCTCTCTCTCTCTCTCTCGACGCCGCTCACCAATGAAGAGGAAGATCAGAAGACAACAAAAACCCATCTCTTCTTGTGACGACTACCGCTATCGCCAGAGACCCAAACCCCGAACCCGAACCCCGTATTTCCTATCCTCCTCCCTCTTCCCTCATCCCCCTTCATCACTTCAGTCCTCTGATCCTCCTTCCCTTCGAACTGGCAAGGTAAGATTGTTTGTTTTGATTTTGGTTGTTTTGGAATTAGAAATTATGAAATCATTGTTATTTTGATTGTTTGTTTTGTTGTTCAGCATCGACACCCACCCTCGCAAGATAAGATTAAAGCCTCTCCCCTTCTCTCTCTATTTTTGTTTTTGTGGTTGTGTCTATTTTAATATTTACAATTAATTAAACCCATTGAATAAGAAATTAGTTTATTAGTACATTAATTATTTAATTTTTCAATAAAAAGAAACGTAATGTGGTTATGGAGTTTCTGATTGAAGGATAGAAGAGATATGTAGTAATTGACTAATTGTTAGTCTAAAGTGGAAACAGAGGAATGGACTTGATAGCCACGGACATGGAAAAGAACGGTAGGAGGAGACTCTGATTGTCATATTCTTTGTAATTATAAAGATATAACGATTTGGGCTTGGCCATTTTTATGGTTTTAAGTTTCCTGTTATTTCTGACCATGAAGATGGGAAATTGTTCATAGTGATTTGAAGATTTATATAGTATCATATATGTAATGTAATGCAATGTTCATAGTTAAAGATGGCAAGGATGTTATTTGCTGAATTGTATGTACGTTTCTGTTATGCTTTGACATAACCATGAAATGAAGGTCTGTTTGTGTGGAACTGAATTTGATTTTTGTTTAATTTCTTTACATTTTCAGTGATTATACCGTACTAAGTCAGATTTGATCAATGCACTGTAAGCAAAACTGGAGTACAAACCGGTCTTATTTTCTTGCTTTCTGTAAATTACATTTTTTGAGAAATTGTGTAAATTACATTGATGTGTCTTCTTCTTCTGTTAACTTTATTTGAAGACACTCAGTACCAGTCTGTTGATTATGTTGTTTCAGTACCAACGCTACTCCCTTCAAACTTGCGCTCGGTTAGTAATTTCAGTATTTTTTTTTTCAGTTGTTGTTGGTTATATTGATTTTGTTGTTTCTCTTCTCCTTCTTCCCTTACAACCCTTCGAACTTGGCTGTTGATCATGTTGATTATCGCTGTTTTGGTTTTTGGTTGTGTTGGGTATAGCTGGGTTTGGTTTTGGTTGATGGTACAGTTTTAACTCAGTATGAAATTGTAATAGTTAGCAATCAGGCATATTAAACCTGTTTTGCTATTAGTTTTAACTCTGTTTTGCTTTTAGAGAAAAGTGATAAAGGCATTGCAGTTGAGATTGTGGTGGTGTTCTGCTTTAGAAAATTGATGTGTTGGTTGATCTCTTGATTCAATCAGGCATATTACCCATTAATTTTTTTAGTTGGGTTTTTTCATCAAACACCTTTGCGTCAATAAAATTGCTTCATTTAATCTTTTTTCTGAATGGATTTTATGTATCTTTGCTATTGAGATTGTGATTATTGTCTGATTTAACATCAAAGTTGCTTATAGATTTATCTCTTTTGTAACTTGTATTTATAAACCATCTAAAAAAGCAAATGTCTTGCTTCACGGAGATGTACTTTTTTGTGTGTTTTGTTATGATATTTTGATGAATTTCTTGATACCCAATTCAAGATCGATTTTTGGTCACTGGTTTTTACTTGTGTATTGCTTGATTCTTGAACCCATTAATTTTAGTGGGATTTTGCAAGAGTTTGCAATTCAGCTAACTCTGTTCTTGATGGCATTTTGTATCAATGAAAATATTGTTGTGCCAATATGAATTCGTATTTTCATTGATCTAAATCACTAAATTATTAGTCTGTAATGTCCTGGAAATTTGTTAAGATTCAGAATTGGATCTTCAATGAGAATCATATGACATTTAGTGGAATATGATTTTGATGTATTTGTGTACGTTGTTGATTGGCAAGGTTGTATTATGTCAGAAACATTGTCCTTATACATGAAAATGTAATGTGATGTAATGTAAATCCCAATGTACTGTTTTTCATCGTGATGTCTAAAGATCCCTCATTTTTAAAAATTAAAAAAAAAAATCTTTTATGTGCCCACGAATTCACTATGCGTTTGGTTTGAACAATCTATTTGTGGATTGTCAAATTTGATTTGAGTTTTAACAGAATATTAATGTGATCATTTGTTTATTCTGATCCTTATTTTGATGAATTTCAATCAGATATATTTACAAGAAGATGAGAGGGGGTTTGTGGCAACTTGGGCTATCAATCAATCACTCACCGACTTGCTCAAGTTGATAAGATGATCGTAACACGATGATGCTTTGCCACGGAAGCTGAACTCAGGAAGACAGTTCTGTATGATTTCCATGTCTCAAATGGTGGCAAGATGGTCCCATTTGCTGGATGGAGCTTGCCCATTCAATACAAGGACTCAATCAAGGAATCCACTTTGAATTGTTGGGAAAACGGTAGCCTATTTGATGTCTCTCATATGCGTGGGCTAAGTCTCAAGGGGAAGGATTGTATCCCATTTCTTGAGAATCTTCAATATATTTTTGACCTATTAGGATATTTGGACGGCTTAAATCTGTTTAAATTACAAAACAACGGTTGTGATGTGTCTTACATGTACATTTTCTATTTTCTCGCTTTTTTCTCTTACTTTTTTCTTTTCTCACCCACCTTCTCATGATCTCATAAATAATCTCATGAATAATCTCATGATGCAACATTCCTCCTTTTCTTTTTATTTTTGTTATTCCCCTCCTCCCCCCCCCCCCCCCCCCCCCCCCTTTTTTTTTCCTCCCTATTTATTTATTTATTTATTGTTTTCTTCTTTTTATTCACTTATTTGTATTTACACCGTAACTTCAGACATGTGCATATACTAGTTTTAGTATAAAAGAGATGAAAAAAAAGTTCGCATTGACTACCAAATTATTTATGTGAAGTGAGCTATATATTAAAATTAAAAAAAAAAAAAACTAATGTAATGTGAATCATTCATTTCTAATTAAAGCGCCTATCATTTTCACAATTTGAAAAATACCATTGGCACATTATTTCTAATGTGATTTTTTTATATAATCCTTTTGTATGCAAATCATTTTTCATTGGTTTATCCTTAAAACAAAAAAAAAAAAAAGACAAAAAATGCCAATAGAAGTGAACCAGTCTTTGACTATAGAGGATTATGAATTTTCTTTTTTAAAAAAAAAAAAATCAGATAAGTAAAAAATTTCATAAAAATGTTAACAACAAATTACCGAAATAATATTTGAGCTTTGTAACTAAATAAAATCTTTTTTTTTATTTTGTCAATTTAAATCATAATATTTATTTTTTTCCACAATCTAAACTATTCACATTTTTTCATTAAGTAAAACTGATGTAAAAAAAGATAATTTAGTCATTAAGCTTAATAGAAGATGATATTTTAGATATTTTTTTTACTCTTAAATTTTTTAGTTTTGAAGCTTCATTTGGTTCATTGGAACGATGTGAAATGATGTGGAACAAAGTAAAATAGTCATTCCTTGAGTGTATTTAACAAAATGATCAATCATTTACAATAGTGAAAAAATATTCTATTTATAATGCATTTTTTTTTAATCATTATTTTAGTAAACCAAGAGTAAAATAAATATTTGATGGAATGATAATTCTATTCTATAAATTATATAAATTTTGAATAACTAATGTAGTGTTTTAATATAATTCAATACAGCAATTGGAGTAATTTTTATGTTTCTAAAGTATCATATTTTAAAACACATTCGAAATTAAGATAATAATTTTTAAATTATAATTGTATAGTGATTTAAATTCATTACAGTTAAATAAAATATTGAAAATATTTTTGTATATTTTCTTACCTAATTTACTTATAAATGTAGTTAGCAGCAAATCCATTATTTTATTTTAAGATTTTATTTTATATATATATATATATATATCAGCATTGATTTAGAGCTCTAAATAAGGAGTTCTAAATCCATCACTAGTAAGGTGGAAATTGAAAAAAAAAAAGAAAAGAAAAGAAGAGGAACAACATACACTGGCAATGGGTGAGACCCACTACCACATCATTAGTGGTGGCTCTAATTAGAGCTCCCAAGCAATTTTCATATATATATATATATATATATGTTATTTTTATTTTTTGTTAAAAATCATACAAATATATAAATACTTTTCATATTAAATTAAACTAACACTGCAGGTTTTTAATTTATTTATTGATTTGTGTATCTCTAGTGAAAATATGATGAGTTATGAGTTGAGCAACTTTATTTTAATATTGTCATCAATTTAAATATTGAACATCAAAATAATACAAATTTATATACAAGGATAACAATATAATTAATTCAATCAATAATCTAATAATTTTTTAAACCAACAGTGTTAAAGGATCCTAGCGAGGCAAGATACCTTGCAGTGCCTGTGGCATTTCGGTGGGACACATTCCGATTTTAATTTTTTTTTTATAATTCAAAAAGGTTCATCAAGTATGTTATTCCTAAAAAAAAAAGATTAATTGAAAATGTGTAGCTTCATGATCAAATTTTAATTGTTTTAAAAAAAATTACCAAAATCATGCCAATTTTTTATTGTTATTTTTATTTTTAAATGTGTTCTTGTTACGAAATTATAGATGTCCAGCCATTTTTTTTTTTTTTTATATAGATGATTTACTCAAATAACTTTACAGTATAAGCGATTTGGATTAGCGGAAAAAATTCAAGACAAACCCCATCTAAACGTTACGACGGCCATTTAAAACGACAGCCACCTCTCAATTGGTGAAAGAGTCAATCGCACTACGCCAAAATTGGGCTTTAGCGGCAGTTTTTTACCGCCGTTAAAGGCTGTAAAACCGCCGTTAAAGCCTTTAACGGCGATATTAACGGCGGTTTTGTTACCGCCGTTTATGCGCGTGTCGGAAAAAGTACAACCGTCGTAAAAAGGTAAATTACCGTCGTTAAAAGTCGACCAAAAACGGCGGTTTTTTACCGCCGTAAATAGGTTTAAAATTTTCAAAAAATAATTCTTTCTTCTTACACTCCCCAAGTCTTGAACCCTCCACCTCTCATCCACCCACACTAACCACTCTACCATAGCCACTCTTCATGAAATATATTCCCTAAATAAATATTTAAACATTAGTTTTACTTTATTGTAGATGGTTTCGCCGGAGCTCGCCGGAGTTTCGCTGGAGCACGCCGAAGTTTCGCCGGCAAAGACCGCCGTCATTAACGGCGGTAATGATTGGGCATTAATAGCGGTTTTTTTAACGACGGTAACAAAACCGCCGTTAATGATACCTTTAACGACGGTTTTCGTTACCGCCGTTAATGCCCTGTTTTGGCATAGTGCGCAAGTGCTTACCTAGCCAAATTCCAAGAATGGGCCTCACCTTTGTAAGAAAATGAAATAGCAAAAAGAATTTTTCTCGTAGAAAATACCAAAATATATACAAGCCTTGCTTAAAAGACCCTAACAAAGAAGTAATTTGTTGAAACAAATGGAGCAATTCCGGTAAAAAAAAAAATACAAGCCATCTTAACTAAAGAGATTCTTATATTTATAGATATATGGGTTATCATTTATTGGTTGTTTATATTTTTGGTGGGTTCAAATTCATCGGTTTATTTACAAAGACAATCGCAAACTAGCTGTCACACTACAAGAAAAAACACTTTCCGTGACCAACATTTTGGTCGCGAAAAGTACCATATTTGGTCGCTAAAACCTTTTCGCGACCAAAATATGTTGGTCGCGAGTTGGTCGCTAAAGCCTTGTCACAAATAGTTTTCTGCGACCAAAAAAGCCTTTGGTCGCTAAAAGTGACCATTCGCGACCAACTTTTTTGGTCGCGGAAAGTCCAATTCATATTAGCCAAAAGTAAACTTTGTCAAATTCGAGATGCCATTGCCAAATATGGTTATGTTACAATATATTAATATTAAAATTTGACAATCTTGTTTTAAAACATATGACATTTTTTCAACATAACCATTATCTTGTCTTTCTAACCGCTGATGAATCTCTATAACTGTTGATAGCAATACAAAAAACAATCTATTAAAATTTGTATCAAATATAATATTAAAAATAACAATGTCAAAATTTGACAACTTGAATGATTATCTCATTCGACCACCTGCTGTTATAATATAGCTATAGCAAGTCAATTAGCAGCCCCATTGGAGCTTTGGTTATGTTACAATATATTAATATTAAAATTTGACAATCTTGTTTTAAAACATATGACATTTTTTGAACATAACCGTTATCTTGTCTTTCTAACCACTGATGAATCTCTATAACCGTTGATAGCCATACAAAAAACAATCTATTAAAATTTGTATCAAATATAATATTAAAAATAACAATGTCAAAATTTGACAACTTGAATGATTATCTCATTCGACCACCTACTGTTATAATATAGCTATAGCAAGTCAATTAGCAGCCCCATTGGAGCATATCATCAAAGAAACTCTAATAATATGTGGTTTAGTTTGAAATTAAATTACCACTAAATTTCATAGTTTTTAGATACAAATTGCTTGTGTTCAATGGGTGTGTTAGGTTTTATTTCTTGGCAAGTTTGACAAAACTCCTTTGAATTGTAATTTTATTCGCATTTTTATTTTAGTGAGGCTATGAGTTGTTAGATGCGAATCCAACCCGAATCGTGCCTTGCAGAGAAGTTTGTGGTGTTTAATTCTTTCAATATTGCCACTTCGCTGATTATGACGGGGATCAAGCTGCCCGGTCAGCTCGCGGGGGGTCAAGGGGGCAGCGCCCTCGAAGCAAAATGCAAAAATGCATTCAAAGTTGCATGTCCGCTCGAGCGGACATTTCCCGGCTCGAGCGGAGAATGTTGGGTCTCAAAAGTGTGTTTGCCAGCAAAAATACTGGATATTGTTTTTTCCCGCTCGAGCGTAGGTCCACTCGAGCGGCCAATTTGACGCTCGAGCGGAGATCATGGGACAGATTTCTATAAATACGTGTTTCAGTCCAAATCTAGGATTACTTCTCCAGATCTTCTTCTTGGGTTCTAGGGTTTATATATGGGGATATTTTACTAGTTTTCTTTAATGTTTTGATTGAGTATTCAACTCATGGTTTAAAAAGTATACATCAAAGGATTATTTGTTTGTTCTACACAAAAGAGAGAGCTTTTCTTCGGTGGATTCTGAAGAATTCGAGTTTGAAGCTTTGGTGAATTCTGGAGTGGCTCATCGTCAAGACAATTCCGAGATGAAAACGGGGTTGGAAGAGGCACATAGAGGTTGGTTCAATTCGGGCGTGGATTCGCTAGGTAATTGAGAGTATACCTGTGTAATTCCTTCATGTCTTTTTAGTGGATTGTTTTGTGGCTTTTGCCTGTGATTTTTTTTTTCACAATTGGAGGTGTCTAATTGTGATTTTTTCACATAAAATCGTTGTGTCAGTTTGTCTTGATTGTTTGATTGTGATTGTTATATACTGCTTAAAATTGATACATAATCACAAATCAACATCTAGGGGATTTCTAGATTTTTTCAATTGGTATTAGAGCGGGTCGTTCTATTTCTTTAAAAAAAATCTTTTAGAACGAGATCTT